CGCAAGGGGGCCACTACGTGCCGTGCAGGGGGCCTAACGGACCGCGAAGGGGTCTCGAAGGGCAGGCGCGACGCGCGCCTCGGGCAGGTAAGGAAAAAAAAAAAAGTTGAAGACGTGGTGGGCCCTTAGGATCGAAAGTTGCTCTATACCATGTGAGAATATTGACGAGAGAAATGAATGAGAAAGGATGATTGCACTAGAAAGCAATTGGGTACATATAGGAAACCCTAACAGGGTTGTACTCACTATTGAGTACCCCACTGCAGACTAGAGAAACATGATATTCTGACAGCGGAACGTTTTGACGTAACCACGATCGGAACACGACGACTTCATGGACGAGCTAGACGACATGGAGGACGCTTGGCTAACCCCACGTACGCTGACCCGAAGGAACTCGATCGAATCGACGCGAAGGCAAGACCAAAGAAGAACAAATCTATGTGTTCTTTCTGCGGCAAGCCCGGACATCGACTCATCGATTGTGACGAAATAAAAACTGCACGTTCAGCGCTTAGGGACCGCAGCAGTGGAGCAGATTTAATGCGAATATTGGAGGATCGTGGAGTGAATTTTTCAAACCACGAACGGACTCTACCAGGGAAAATCGCCGAGGGAAATAAAATCTCCGCGACACAAGACCCTGCTGGACCCGGACAACTCCAAAAAGGCCCTGTAAAAAGTAAGCACCCCTTCAAAATATCATACAAGGATGCTTTACTTGGAAAAAATTCCCTTGGGTCTACGGCCTTTGTGAAATCACGAGAGAGGCTCCAGAAGAAAAAGAATGTACCGGTACGACAACTACAGCAGCTGCGCATGGGGAACCAACAACGGAGCGTGGAAGATCGACCTTCCAACGACGACATCGTCCTCTCTCTGAAAAACCAGCCCACGTCGACCAACCGGTCCCCACGGAAGAAGTCGGTGGCGCTGAAGCAGCTCAAGAGGGAGCTGGAGGTCAACATGAAGCTGCGACGACCTCAAACCTCCTCTACAGATGCATCTGCAACATCTGAAACATCTACGGTATCTACCCCATCTATGAATTCTACTACGAGCTCGAGAACCACGTCGTCGACGACAACAAAAAATCATAGCAATAGGGAACGGCAGGACCGGCCATCTGCCACCCCAGGAGAAAACACAGAGCTATGGGAAATGCCCTATGATCCAATCAACGAGACGATCAACGGGTACAACGAGCAACGCCAACCACTTTTGCTCGAGGTGATCTGCAATGGACGACGCCTCCAAGCACTCGTGGACAGCGGAGCATCCCATTCAGTATGCGACAAAGCAACCCTCGAACGCATCAATGAGAAGTACACGCCTTCAAACTTCATAGCTACGATGTTTGACGGAAGCAAATTACAAGTCTACGGCGAAGCAGCGTTACACCTGCAGATGGGTCCTCTTCGCTGGAAACCGACCCTACCCGTCACCAACATCAAAGGGCTAGACTTGATTCTTGGGAGAGATCTTCTGAAGAAGTTCAACCCCGAGATCAACTGGGTCACCCGCACGGCGAGTATTCACAATCAAGACAGAAGAGTTCCTCTTCCGAATTGGAGCAACACGGGAGATATTCCGGAGGAGACTCTCGCACGCTTCGAGAAGGACGTGAAGCGAACCATGGCAGGGTTTGTTGCACTGGTTACCAACGAGGACGAAGGAGAGAGAAAAACGCTCGAGCTTCCACCAGCAATCCAGAAACTTCTAGAAGAGTTCGAAGACGTTCTCCCTGACGACCTTCCAGACCAATTGCCGCCATACCGAACCCACCAGCACGAGATCATCGAAGAACCTGGTTCAAAACCGACCTTCCGAGCACCATATCGACTCAGCCCTACCGAGTTGGCCGACATGAAGAAGCAGATCGAGTACCTTCTGGACAAAGGACTCATTCGACCATCAACATCACCATACGGTGCACCAGTGCTTTTCACACCAAAACCTGACGGAAGCTTACGCATGTGCATCGACTACCGAGCCCTCAACAAGCAGACGATCAAGAACAAGTATCCGATTCCACGGATCGACGATCTACTTGACCAGCTTCGTGGAGCCACAGTATTCTCAAAACTCGATTTGAGATCGGGGTATTGGCAGATCCGGATGGCGGATAACTCCATCCATAAGACAGCGCTTCAGACACGATACGGATCCTACGAGTACCTCGTCATACCGTTCGGACTCACCAACGCACCCGCTACATTCCAGGCCGAAATGAACCATATTCTTAGGCCTCTACTCGACGAATGCGTGGTGGTGTACCTGGACGACATCCTGATCTACTCGAGGGACATGAAGCAGCACATCGAACACCTACGACGTGTCTTCGAGATACTTCGACGGGAGAAGTTCTACGTCAAGCTATCCAAGAGCGAGTTTGCCTTGAAGAAAGTTCAGTTCCTTGGACACATGGTGAGCGCTCAAGGAGTCCATGTTGACCCAAAGAAGATCGAAGCCGTACGTATGTGGAAAACACCGGAGAACGTGAAGGAACTTCAGCAATTCCTTGGCTTTCCGAACTGCTATAATCGGTTCGTGCCACAGTATGCGAAGATTGCAACACCTCTCACCAATCTACTGAAGAAGAATACACCGTTCAAGTGGGAGGATGTGCACCAGCAAGCCATGGAGCAGTTGAAGACCGCACTCACGACCGCACCCGTCCTGATCCTGCCAGATCCAGAAAAAGACTACGTCATCGAAGCTGACGCTAGCGACCAAGCAGTTGGAGCAGTCTTGATGCAAGACCAAGGGAAAGGACTACAACCAATCGCTTACCTCAGCAAGAAATTGCACGGGGCAGAACTCAACTACCCGATTCACGACAAAGAGGCCTTAGCGATCATCACCGCATTCAAGACATGGCGATGCTACCTCGAAGGGAGAAAGACCACGGTCTACACTGACCATTGCAGCCTAAAATACCTGAAAACGCAGCCGACCCTCTCCAGACGACAAGTCAGGTGGATTGACTTCCTCGAGACGCACTTCGACTACGACATCGTGTACAAGCCGGGACACAAGAATAAGGCAGACGCACTGAGCCGGCCTGGACACGTTGCCGCCATACAGATTGAGGGGATGAATCCGCTACTCAAGGGACTCTTCACGCACGGGTATACCATCGACCCCGAGATTCCCTTAGCAGAGAAAAGGAAATTGTTGCAGTGGGACCACGACGTCGCACTACGCAAAGGATCAACAAAGATATGGGTACCCAACTACCCGCCTCTTCGGCAGTTGCTTCTCGAAGAATTCCATGACGTGCTCTACGCTGGACACTTCGGGAGTAACAAGACTCTTGCCGGGATTGCGAAAGTCTACTACTGGCCTCACATGGCAAACGACGTGCAAAAGTTTGTCACTTCGTGCGACACGTGCCAGCGGATGAAAAGCAGTAAGCAGAAGAAAGCAGGACTTCTTCAGCCTTTACCCGTCCCGGAACAGCCTTGGCAAGTGGTCAGCTTGGATTTCATCACCGGTTTACCACCTACCAACGCGGGGCATGACGCCATCCTGGTCGTCATCGACAAATTCTCAAAGATGGGTCACTTCATTCCGACACATACAACCGCACGCACGGAGGAAACGGCACAGCTATTCCTCAAACACATCATCTCACAGCACGGGATCCCAACAACCCTCATATCCGACAGGGACCCCAAGTTTACTAGCAAGTTCTGGAAAGAGCTCATGTCGCTCATGGGGACACGCCTAGCAATGTCATCTGCATATCATCCCCAGACCGATGGGCAGACAGAGCGCTTGAACCAAATTGTGGAACAACTCTTGCGCGCAGCGTGCAAGGACGACATTAACAAGTGGGACTTGCACTTGCCGGTGTTGGAGTTCGCCTACAATAATGCGAAGCATGCCGCAACAGGAGAGACCCCATTTTTCCTCTGTTACGGACGACATCCTCTAACTCCACAACAGCCGACAGTACCTGCAACTGTCCAACCCGCGCACGACTTCATTACCACAATGCAGCAGCTTTGGGATCGGACACACAAGCGTCTACATGACATACAGTCTTCACAGAAACGCTTGGCCGATCGCCATCGACGTGATCATACCATTGCGGCTGGTGACCATGTGCTTCTCGACACATGCAACCTCAACCTCGGTCACCTTCCATCCAAGTTACGACCTCGCTTCTGCGGACCTTTCCTCGTAGAAGAGCAGGTCACACCAGTCACATTCCGCTTGCGCCTACCAGCTTCTTGGAAGATTCATAACGCCTTCCACGTGCAGCTTCTTAAACCCTATCAAGATCCAAATAAGCTGTACACGGGACGCCAACCTCCGCCGCCGCCTCCAGTCCTCGTGAATGATGAACTTGAGTACGAGGTTGAATCTGTGCTTGCACATCGTCGTCGTTGGCATGGCGCCCTGGAGTTTCTCGTACGCTAGAAAGGCTATGATCCTTCTGAGGACAGCTGGGTCTCTGAAGAAGATATGAGTAACGCCCAACGTTCTCTCCGCGACTATCTTGTCAAGCAGGGTGTTACATCTACCACCCAGCTTTGAGGGGGGGAAGTGTGAGAGTACGCCGACGTTCGACATATTTCTCATTTCCATATTTTTACTCCATCTTATTCTCCTTATTTTCCTCTTTCATTTGCACTTTATTTCACCTCAATCGGACTACTATTCTATTTTCTAGAGCTTTCCGATTATTTCACTTATTTGGTATTTCGGCACCGACATTTACATTATACGGCACCGACAGCACCGACAGTGGTGTACAAGGCGTAATCTCGCCATAATCCGAAGTGCCAATGGGCTTGCGTGCTTATGCGCACTTGTGATTATCTATTGTAGAAGAGCGCGTTCCCGAAAGTTCGGATTATCTGTTGTTTCTATGTATTTCTGAGTATAAATACGCCTTGTACTCACCTTTAGTGCAACATTCTCGAGTGGGATTCGATCCTGTGACAGCAGTGGCACGAAACTTGGCAGTGCAGCTCAGTAGCGGGCGGTAGCTGCAGGTTGCGGGAGGCTGTGAGCGGCAGCGGGCAGCAGTGGGTGGTGCACAGGCGGGAGGTACACTGGCGGAAGTGGGCGGCGCACCGACGGTAGCAGGCCAGCAGCGGGCTGTGCGCGGGCTGCAGGCAGTGGGCAGCACGCGGGCGGTAGCGGGCGGCAGCGCGCAGCGCACTGGCGGCAGCTGGCAGCATACAGGCGGCAATGGGCGGTGCACCGGCGGCAGCAGGTGGCACTTAAGAGGTAGCAGGTCAGCAGCGGGTGGCGTGCGGGCTGCAGCGGGTGGTGCACGGTTGGCAGTGGGCGGCTGCGGGCAGCGCACAGTGCGCGGCAGGGCTGCTCGCGGCGGCAGGGTAGGGTAGCACTCACGGCGGCTGGGCAGCGCGACAGAGCAGCTCGGCGTAGCGGCGGCAAAGCGGCGCGCGTGCATGTGCGCAGTAGTGCAGCGCGCGCGACAAGGCAGCGCGGCGCGCAACGGCATTGCAGGGCAGCGCACGCGTGACAGCAGGGCAGGGCAGCATGCGGCAGCACGTAGCTCAGGAGCAGCGCGTAGCGGCACGTAGTAGCGCAGTAGGGTAGTAGTAGGGACGGCAGTGGACGAACCTAACGTACTCAATGATACCATGTTAGAAACTAGCGGAATGTGAATGACTAGCAAGTGGGGAAGTACAAATGCTAACCCTAAAGTGTTATGTCGGAAATTCCCTTACCCTGTACCTCCCCTTGAGTGTCTCCTTCCAGTGCCACCTCCCTTCTCACTGCACTCTTCCCCCTCCTCCTGATGCCCCCGTCTCTGCCTCTTCTCATCCCTTTGAATCTGGTGCTCCCAGCCTCATTCGGCACCCGTGCTTCTTCCCCTTTTCCTGCTAATACCTGCTTGGATGCTCCTCTCCTACTCCCCCTCTCTGGTATGCATCTGTGGTAAGCCACGTCGGCTTAGTCACATCTTCCTTATCTCCTTAGCTCTACCACAATTCCTTACTCACACTGGCGTGAGATCTCACGAGTGCACAAGGTGATGCAATTACATGAGATCAACACTAAACATACAAGAAATGCAGAATCGTTTGCCCGTACCTCCTATAACCACCCACCACCCTCCCCCCTACTGCTACACCACAAGTTTCCCCTCTGAACGAAGGCCTCTTCACAAAGTGAAAGGTCAACGTCCCTTGCATGCTTTCACCGCCACTTTGCCATCCTTCTGCTTGTCCTCCAGCTCGTACTTGTAACCCAACTGGCTCGGGCATCCAACCTGCAAAACAACAGAAGATGCATTGTCATACACACGCACACGAAACAAAAGCAGCGAGTTTCAGGTGTCCTCCTCCTCCCACCTCTCACCCCACCTGCTGTCAGCTCAACTGATGCTTCGGCAGCCTTGTCCCCCACAATCCCCTTTTACTGCTCCTCTTTCCGCATAGAAACATTCCCGCGACTGTATACAAATGTACACTATATACATCCTCCCTCCTTCCTCCTTATCACGCAACAGCTGTCGGAAATTCCCTTACCCTGTACCTCCCCTTGAGTGTCTCCTTCCAGTGCCACCTCCCTTTTCATTGCACTCTTCCCCCTCCTCTTGATGCCCCCATCTCTGCCTCTTCTCATCCCTTTGAATCTGGTTCTCCCAACCTCATTCAGCACCCGTGCTTCTTCCCCTTTTCCTGCTGATACCTGCTTGGATGCTCCTCTCCTACTCCCCCTTTCTGGTATGCATCTGCCCCATCCCATGCCCCTGTGCCGCCCTCTCCCGGGTCACAGGACCAGCATAATCCTCATCTCCCCCCTTGCTCGCGCCACATTGGTGATGTGATCCAGGACCCGCACTCCCGCCCCACTTTCCAGCACCAACACGCCAGATTCCCGGATTTCCTGCACCTTTCATCGCTGTTGGGAGAGCCCCGCGTCCAGCTCGTCCCTCCTTGGGCGTCGAATGTACACCTCCTGCCCTTGCTCCAGTGCAACTAGCTCCCCTCGCGCACGTTGCTCCTGCCTCTGTTTGTATCGGTGAATGTCCCTCAACTGCGCCACTCGCAGGTTTTCCAAGGCGGCCGGTAACAACTGCCGCTGGTAGTTCCCTCGTGCCGTCGCTAGCGCTGCCCACTTCGCAGGTGTTCCTGCAGTCACCACATTTGTTAGCACCCTTGGTGCCCCCACGGGCAACGTGGCCTCACGCCCGAACAGGAGGTGATAGGGAGATAAGTCCCTCAGGGCGGCCTGCTTACTGAATCGATATCCGACCATAAACCAATGCAGGTGCTTGTCCCAGTCCCGGTTCTTGGTCTCCTCATACGCCCTCAGACCTTTCTTCAGCGTGTGGATGAGCCGCTCTATCAGCCCATTGCTCTGTGGGTGATAGCGCGAGGTGGTGCAATGGGTGATGAGGCAGGACGCCAGCAGTTCATGAAATTCCCCTTGGAATTTGGTACCCTGGTCCGTGAGCACTTCTCCACAGGCCCCAAATCGAGTATGAACCTGTTCCTCGAAAGCTTCCGCCACTACTTCCGTCGTCTTACAGGTAAGCGCCCGCACTTTCACCCACTTGCTCACATGTTCTATCATGACCACCACATGGCAACGCCCTATCTTGGTCTAAGGCAGCTCCTCTGCTAGGTCCAAAGACCACCTGTATCCTAGCCCCACGATGGGCAAGGGTTGCAGCTCAGCTTGACTCCTTTCGAAGGCTATCTTATTCCTGATGCATGCGTGACAGTGCCCCACCCAGTCCTTCACTTCCTTCCTCATGCCAGCCCACCACCATCCTGTCTGCAACAGCTGCTGGGTTCGCAGGGGTCCGTAGTGGCCCAACCGGTTGTGCATCTCCTGAATGATCCCCTCCCGCTCCTTTGGCTCTGGCACTCTCTTCCATCTGTCATTGGTCCGGATCTATACTTGGCTCTGATACCAGCAGTAATGCTGCCCCCTGCTGCGGGCCCTAGCTGACACCACTGCTCCTTCTGCCGTCTCTCCCTTGAGCCACGCTAGAGTTTCCGCGTCTTCCCACATGACACGCGCTCCTGCCTGTTGCTCCCTCCGTAGGGGCGTCACCGATCTGGAGTCATGGCCATCAGGGCCATCTCTAGGGGCACAGCAGGCGGATTCCTAGACAATCCGTCCACGCACTGCATGGTCTTGCCTGGGCGATGCCGTATGGTGAATTCATACTCCTGTAGTTTCATTGCCCAGCGCGCGTTCCTGCCCGTCAGCGAGTGGTTTTGCATGAGCCATAGCAGCGGCTGGTGATGGGTCACCAGTGTGAAGGGTCGGCCCTCCAGGTAGATACGGAAATGACCCACTGCCCATACAGCTGCCAGCCCCTCTTCTTTGTACTAGGACTAGTTCGCCTCCGGTGGGTTGCATGAGCAACTTGCAAAGGCCACCACATTCTCTTCTCCTCCCTCCTATTGGCTTAGGATGGCTCCCATTCCTATGCTACTCCAATCTGTGTACAAGATGAATGGCACATCCACTTGGGGAAGTTGCAGCACGGCCCCATGCTTTACTGCTTCCAACAAGTCCTTCAGGGCCACCCCTGTGTCTTCCTTGGTTTCCCGGTGGGCTCTCCTGACTACTCCTTTTACCACCCGCCCCTCCACCAGTTTCTAGACTCTCGTGACGTCCGGTTTGACGAGTCAGTGTCCTACTACACTCGGTACCCCTGTCGAGGTCTCCCGGTTCCCCCTCCCCCCCTCTTCCTCGCACCCTCTCTTCCCCCTGCTCCCGCTCCTCCGGTACCCCCGCCCCCCCCTGGTCCTGCCCCGTCAGGTGTGTCTCACGCTACCCTTCTACCCTCGGTTGCGCGTCAGGTAGCGTCTCCCTCCCCAAATTCTTCCTCACAGTCCCTTCAGCAGCCTTCGGCACTTTCGCGACAGATTAATGTGGATTCGGTTGGTGTTGGAGATGGAGGTGCAGCCACTGGCGGTACTCGGTCTAGGGGTGCTCGTTCGAGGGGTGCTGGAGCTGGAGGTGCTGGCGCAGGTGGCGCCGCCACGACACCCATTTCCTGGCCCTTCGCCGGCTTGAGCACGAGGAGCAGGAGCGGGTGGAGCGGGAGAGGCAGGAGCTGCAGCAGTTGGACCAGCAGCAGCAGCACCAGCAGCACCAGCACCAGCACCAGCAGCAGACGCCGCAGCCGCCACCTTTGCAGCACCTGTTCCCTCCAGTGAGTGGCCTTCGGGCCCTTGGTCTTCCTTCCTCTCCTCCTGTCCACTCCCAGTCACCTATTGCGTACAGTCCTACGTTTCCTCCTCCAGACTCGACTCTGGCTGTTTTCTCTCCTCCTCAGTCACGGTCGTCTCCTTTCGTTGTCCCGCACGACTGGACCAGTCGTTGTCCTCCGCGTGCTCAGCCCTCGTCTCCTCTTGCCGACCTTCGCACCGTATTGTTTCGTTCTCCTCCTCATCGTTCTCCGCATGTGTCTGTTCTCCCCTCACCTCCTGAGTCGTATCTCACCGTTTCCTCACCCTATCACTGACTACTACCGTGCTGCTCGCCCTGTTGTCTCTCGTGTTCTCGCCTCTCTTGTCACCGACCCTCGTGCCTCTCCGACGTCTATCTCGGCTCTTACCGCCGCTGCCGCTCTCTTTGCCTCCACCCGCCGTCTTGACTACGCCACGTGAGTGGTGGCTGCTCCACCTCCCCGTCCTCTGTCCGTCGGGGGTGAGTCTGCCCTTGACTGTGACGTCCTAGAGGATAGGCGGTTTGAGCTGGAGTTCTTAGCAGCCACTTCCCCCTCTCTCTGCGCCATGCTGCTTTCCCTTGAGGGAGACCCCGACGCCCTTGACACACCGACACCTCGCACGTACCGTAAGGCATTGTCAAGGGAGTGGGCCTCTCAGTGGAAAACGGCTATGGATGCAGAGCTAGCGTCTTGGAGATCCACAGGCACGTACGTCGACGTAGTTCCCCCTCCCAAGGCGAATGTTGTCGATGGCATGTGGCTCTTCAAGGTGAAGCGGCCGCCTGGTTCACCACTTGTGTTCAAGGCGCGCTACGTGGCTACGGGTTTTAAGTCAGCGTGAGGGAGTTGACTTCTTCCAGACCTTCACCCCGACCCCGAAGATGACTACTCTTCGGGTGTTACTGCACGTAGCAGCACAGCGAGACTAAGAGCTGCACTCCCTTGACTTCTCCATTGCGTTTCTCCAGGCTGGCTGTGCCGTCCTCCTGGCTTCACCGACACCTTCCCACCTGGGACCCAGTGGAGCCTGAGGCGGCCAGTCTACGGTCTTCGCCAGTCGCCCCGTGAGTGGCACCACACTTTTCGCTCCACGCTTCGTGACCTTGGGTTTCGTCCTTCTTGTGCCGACTCGTCGCTGTTTGTTCGCACTGGTTCCACTCCTTTCTTTATACTAGTGTACGTCGACGACTTGGTCTTTGCTACAGCAAACAGGGCAGCTCTGACTGAGGTGAAGTCCGAACTGCAGAAGAGACACAAGTGCACTGACCTCGGTGAACTGTAGCGCTACCTTGGCCTGCAGATCACTAGGGACAGAGCCACTTGCACCATCACACTGACTCAGTCACACATGGTGCAGCAGGTCCTTTGGCGGTTCGGGTTTCAGTTCTCCACCACACAACCCACTCCTCTTGTTGTTGACCACCGACTCACTGGCCCTTTTCCCGACGAGCCCTTTGAGTCTAGTGGCCCCTACGCAGAACTTGTGGGCTGCCTCATGTACCTGACGACTTGTACTCGGCCGGACCTCGCCTTTCCCCTGAGCGTCCTCTCTCACTTTGTTGCGACTGGGGGACACCGTCCTGTTCATTGGACAGCGGCTGTGAGGGTGGCGAAGTACCTGGCGACTACATCAGGCATGGGGCTTGTGCTTGGAGGGACACAAAGTAGTGACCATCAGATCTACGCTAGTGCCATGGCGGCACAGGAGCTTTGCTAGTTGACCTTCTTGCTCGCCGACCTTG